AAAATTTGTTTTATTTTTTTAAGTTTTAAAAGTGAGCCTTAATTTGCCCATTTGAACTTTTGTATATGTTTTGAAGGTACAATTTTTTACTTACTTGAGCTGTTCTACCTATAGTAGCATTGAGTACAGGCCTACTGTTCAGAGTTTCTTCTTTGTATAATGAATGTAATCTAAAAAGGTTAATATAGAAAGTTGTAATTTATACAATAATCAATTCGGTTAAAAATGTATTTTGATTGGATTGAAATATATTATAAGTAAAGATATTTTCAATGATTAGCTATATATTTTTCATAATTATATTATGTGCATCATTAATTACAAGGAAATAATATGCAAATGACAGTGGTTTGTTTCAAGAGTTCTCTCTAGATTTTGACTAATATTTTTTAAATGTACAAAAGATTGTTTACAAAACTTGAGACATTTTATCCCCAGTTGTTTAATAAGACATTGATTTAAATCCTTATTGTTAAACTCTTGTGCTTTCTTTTTATGGCAGTTTTTGCAGGATTCTGTGGGCTTATTCCATTCCTGGCAATCTACTGGGCATGTATTCCAGCAGTACTAGAATTATGGTTGATAAAGGATCAGCCTATAAAAGCTGCTTTGATGTTTGGATGTCAATTGATTCCCATGTTTTTTGTGGATGGCTTAATTCAAGAAGAAATTAAAGGGTAGCAATTGATTTTTATTAGTTACCAAAACTAAGCTTAACTCTTTCCAACCTGGTATATTATGTTTTTTATGACATCATTTCGTTTTAGAAACTTCTCTCTTATTTCTCCATTCAAATCATCCACAAAATAAAAGTGATATCAGCAGTATCCAAAAACTAATTAAACATTTCAAATTGGGTCCAGACAATTTTGAAGGAATCTAGACCCTTAAGGCCCAACTCCTTTGACTATATAAAGTTACATGATTCACAGAAATCACAGCAAGTTCATCAGTAAGTCTTGACTATTCCAGGAAACAGAAAACTGCTTTTATTAGGTCAATCTCTCTTGTTACATGATTCACAGAAATCACAGCAAGTTCATCAGTAAGTCTTGACTATTCCAGGAAAGAGAAAACTGCTTTTATTAGGTCAATCTCTCTTGTTACATGATTCACAGAAATCACAACAAGTTTATCAGTAAGTCTTGACTATTCCAGGAAACAGGACACTGCTTTTATTAGGTCAATCTCTCTTGTAATCATCAAAACTATAATCAGAAAGCACATTCTGTATGCTACTGGCCAATGAGAAAATAGGATTGTGAAAGTGTCTTTGTTCCATGTGAAAGTTGCAAAGGTATCTCCAGTACACAAGATCAAGAAGTATAAAATGCAACTGAACTGTCCCATGAAACAGTAGATAAGTCCTTTGACTGATCGAGCTACAAAAATTAACACCTCAGGTGGGGTTTTGTGTATGAACAAAAACAAGTCCAAACATGAAGTGAAATAAAGAAGCTGCACAAATGAAAAGGATTCCCGGGGCACAGGCTATAATGTGGGACATAAAATGTACAATAGGAGACTAAGATGTGTAGTATTTGTATGGTACAAAATAAGTATATTTTATCTAATAAATTCTCTCACTAAGAATTAAATAGCTTATTCAGTAATTAGAATTAAAATGTTAACACTTCTGTGGTATATTTAGCGATATAATTTTCCTGGCTCTATCCAGCCACAATTAGGAGAAGCCGAAGAATATACACAAGGTAGAGTAAGACTCAATTCAACTACCTCATGAAGCAGTAGATAGTTTCAGTGATTGGACCCTGCCAAAAGAAGAATTTCATCTAAAGGTTGTAATTAGCACATGACCTTGACTGGCTTTATCGTGTTTCAAATGAGAACTAGAAGAATTATAAACATTTTAATTATGAAGCATATATTATGTGAGATAAGATTATAGAATACTTACTTTAAAAAATATGTTACAGAGCTGCAAGTTAGCAGCACATATTTTGCATGTAGTTAAATTACCTTGTAAATTAGTAATGAAAATAAAATGTATTGTCATCTTAAGGCAAAATCATAACACATGAGGCTGGAAACACAGAACTGTTCCATAATGGCCCCATAATTTGTTAGATTAGTTGAAAGTGTCTGTTGTAGCATCATGGATCTTGATACATGATGCTACTACAGGATATTATAAATTTTCAGAATCTTTACTTCCAATTTCATAGTGAAAATGTCCCCTCGAATTGACCAATATAGCTCTACAACACTGTTGCATATTCTTTGTGAGTCTGGATGTAGTTTAGAGTCATGTTTCCTCATTCTTTCATCAAGGCATTTTCAGCTGATCCAGTGTCTGATAGGTCAGAAGACATAAAATCTTTCCCCGAAGCTGGTCTTAGATGTGTTCTATGGTGTTGAGTTTGAAAGAAAACACTAGCCAATCTATTTTTCACACCAGTTTTTTGTGCGAGTTAATCAATGACAATATGTACATGTGCAGAGAAGATGGATATTTTTTTTGTGGCACCAGCGAAAGATCTGATAATGGTATTCAGGATCTCGTTTGCATAATCCATTATTCCTAATGTTGTACATGTCAATATAGCCATTAGAACAGTTGCCTCTCCACAATAACCAGGGAGCCATCCCAAACATGTAGTGAACAATCACTGTGCAGTTGGCATTGTGTGTTGTCTATTTTGGCTGTTTTTACTCGTGAAGAATGTCATCATGGAAGTCAGAACCAAACCTTTATTCTTCCTAATTATTTTAGTAATATTAATGGTGAATTTCAACACCAAGAAATGTGATTGTATTACTTGGCAAGTAACATTTGGATTTGTAGTTGAAAGAAAGACTTCCCAGGATATTGATAAACAAGTAATATAAGACAGAATGTGTTTAAAAAAAATGTTTTATATTGACTGTAATAATGCAGTTTTTTTTTACTCAACTGCCAAAGTTATCAATGTTTAACTTTTATAAATTCTTGTTTAAATAGTACTGTAGTGAAAATATTATTTTTTTCTTTATCTATTAGGACTGGTCATCCTTACCTAACTGGGATGGCTATTGCTGGTGGAATAATGTGTATGGGACTAAAAGGAGCATTTTTAGGTCCAATATTGTTGTGTTTTCTCATTGTTGCTATCAATATGTACACAGCCTGGTTAAGAGGGGTGTCTCCATCAATGTGGAAAACTACAAAGAAGAAGGAATTGATCAATATTGATAAAGATACCCCTCAGATTTTGGATAGCCAATCAAAGGTTAAGGATGGTGTGTCTCTTGATACAGAAAGTTATCAAGCAGAAGGAATCATCAATGATTTGGATATTCTTTCAAAGACTGAGGAAGATGTCTCTCTTGATGCAGAAAGTTATCAAGAAGAAGGAATCATCAAGGCTGATACAAATAACTTTCAGGATTTGGATAGTCCTTCAAAGACCGAAGAAGATGTCTTTTTTGAAGTAGAAAGTTATCAAGAAGAAGGAATCATGAAGGCTGATACAGATACTTCTCAGGATTCAGATAGTCCTTCAAATACTGAAGAAGATGTCTGTTTTGATGTAGAAAGTTTTCAAGATGAGGGGATCATCAAGGCTGATACAGATACCACTCAAGATTTGGATGAACCATCCAAAAATGAAAGCAAATAATTTGGAGTTATGATAGTTTAATCATTTCCTGTATTTATATAATCTCAGTATTAAAAAATTGATCTCATTTCAAGTTAAAAAGCTGAATAAAATTTAGTATAGTGTGGCAACTTTAGTCATAAATTTAACTTTTTCATCAAAGGTAATTCAACACTGTATAATGGCATATAGCTTGGAATTTTTACTTATGAACAGTGTAAAACATTAAGATATTGAAGAGAGTAGAGATTTGTAAAATATGTAAGACAAACTTCATAAATACTCTAACTAAAATGTGAAGAGAGTGTAGTAAAAGATAAAAAAAGAACATTTCTAAAACAGTGTAAGATAAATAAAAAAAAACAATATGTTAAAGAAAAAAAGGAGAGATTATTTATGTTTTGAAACAAATTCTTCAGTTTTCACTTCATCAGACTAATTTCAAGGATTCATAACTTTTATATTTTTTTATGTAACACTACAAATAAATCAATAAAAATTATATCTTTTAATTGGTGAGAGTATCATTTATTTATATTTGTAATCATAAGTGCTGTATTATGCATTCTAAGGATTGTGTGCTGTACTGAAATGTATGGTTAAGGCATAATTAGCTGTTATTCCTTTGTATTTTGTATTTTTAATTGCGAATATTGGTAGCAAAAAAAGCCAGTTGTGGAGAGTCAGTATTGCAAGCTATTAGAAAGTTCTGGTTGAACTGTTGCAAAATGTTTTGTTTAGTGACTTCTCACAACTTAATTTATCTGGTGTAATTCTAGATTTAACAAACCTACAATATGTTGTTCAAATTATCCTCACAACATTTGTTTTTGTAAATATATTATTACTAAAAGTTTAAAGCTTTTCTATTTCTTCATTTACATCTATAATAGCAGTCATAACATACATCTACTATCTTAAATATGTTTGATTTTGTTTTTCTTGAAAATTATTATTCTAGTTTTAAGTTCATTTTAACAAGTAAGTTTTGTATTATGTGTTTTGATTTTATCATATATGTATATTTTAAAATCATGTAAGAGTAAAATCTGTAAATTTATTAAGTATTTTTAATTATAAGATGTACTTAATAACTAAGCACCTTACGTTAAAAGAACTATGGATATAAAATGTGGGTTTTGGATTAATTTTGTTATCAAATAATACAAGTTGGAAAGGTGAAGTATAAAAAACTTTTAGGTGAGTAAAAAAGTGGTCATTAATCTTAAGAAATCTTTTTTGTTTCCTTCAGTGTATTTGCTTGTAAACCTTATGCAGTTGCATAAAAACAGGAACCGGATAAAATATTTTACAGAAAATCAGATTAAACAGTTTGAAGTGGAGTTATTTAGAACTAATTGGTTCTACCTGTTAATGATATTGATAACATAAATGGTAATACTAATGTCTGTAAATTCTTGTTGAAAATTCATACCTGGTTTGTATACTTTTTCTTTCTATTGAGTTTCTGTCAACCTTTTCATATAGATTCAACTGTTCTATGTCATGATGAAATTTATTCCCTGATGTTGCTTTGTGAATGTGTTTACCTTCAGATATCTTTGCATTTAGACTTTTTTTGTGTGGTATTTTACTGTCTTTCTTCCAGTTAATTTGTGTTATTAATGCATGTCTTATGTTAAAGTAATTTCACTCATTTTGTGACTTGAGGTTGTATTTACTCCTCAGATAGATATTAAAACTTATTTGTGAATGTTGACTTGAAGCTTTTTCAACAGGTGTATTTCTGGAAAAGTTTTGTTTTACTTTATGTGGTACAAGTCTTTGTTGCTTATATATTATTCTATTTTTAATGTCATGTCTTTGTAAACATGTTTAAAAGTGTATTATGTCAATTTAGTTTTAAATGTTTAATTATTTTTACTAAAGCCTTTATGACAGAAACAACCTTTTGTCCCTGCATTTCTTTGCTTTGTAATGTTGTTTTAGAAATTTTATTATTTTGTATAGAATTGCATATTTATTGCATTACTGCTGTTAATATCCTTCATATGTGTACTGCTCAAGGTGTGTGAGTGTGAAAATGTAGTATGATAAGTAACTGATTATTACACTTAATAGTCTTCACCTTCCTCAGAAAGTCAATCCTTAGAAATCAGTATTTTAATACATTTCATGTCACAATTTCCTCTTTTCTTAGTTAATCTGAAGCATTTTAAGTCATTGAAGAAAACAACCTGGGGAAGATTATTTAAGATTATGTCAAATTAAATGTATTTTAGAATTTGAAACAAACCTAATTTGAATGTATTTTAAGTTTTTAGCTCAAGACAATATTAGTACGTTTTGTATGCTTATATTGTTTTTAAAGGTTGACAGCATTACGCAGTTAATTATTTTAATTTTATTAAACTTTATCAGATAGTTTATATAAATCTTTCTCATTGTCAGCTATTCTGTGCTTCAAAGAATGTCTCTTAGTTTAAGATTTTTTTTTTTTAGATTCACAAGCAGAAAATTAATGTCTAGTGAGATACCTACTGAACTGAATAATTAATTCAACAAGAGGGAATCTTCAATAGCTGTGGCAGTTGAAATTCTTTTAAGCAGGGTTAGAGTAAGTTATTCCCTGAGACGTTGGGTGTAGTCAAATACATCAGTCGAAAGAGTTTGACCTCTTGAGTCTAAAACTGTAATTAGTTCTCAAATTGGTCAAGAGATGATGGAGCTATGAACTAAAAGTGTGTACTTGAAAAACTCTGACTTGTGGCTAAAAATCTAGTAGTAGCAACTTTTACAAAAAGTTATTTAATGAATAAACACATGCTGATTTTAATGATTATAATGTTTGGACCCATAGTATCAGGTCATCATCAGGTAAAACATTTTCAACTTTAACAGAGAGAAATTTCCATCAAACAATATATGGACCTAGAGGCTTTCAAAGTCATAATATTCAAATTAGTATTTTCATCCCTCCTACAGCCTGGCATGGCCAGGTGGTTAGGGCGCTTGACTCACAATCTGATGGTTATAGGTTCGAATCCTCGTTGCACCAAACATGCTTGCCCTTTCAGCCGTGTGACAGTAAATCCCACTATTTGTTGGTAAAAGAGTAGCCCAAGAGTTGGCAGTGGGTGGTGATGACTAGCTGCCTCTCTAGTCTTACAGTGCTAAATTAGGGACAGTTAGCGCAGATATTCCTCGTGTAACTTTGCGTGAAATTCAAAACAAATGTCCCTCCTACACTACTCAGGCTACTTGCACAAAGCTAGTCCAATTTCCATAAATTGTTAACACCTAAATCAATTCTCCTAATTTTACACTCTCAAAAAAAGAAAAAAAAAAAACAAGCCTAAAACTTTTAAGCCATTCTCTGTGCTTAAATCATATACATACATCACTTTAGCACCTCCTTCTGTACTCTTTTTTTTTTCAATGGGATAATGTCCTTCCTGTAGAACTAGAGGGCACCATAAATGCACAAAGTACTTCAAATGAAGCATATCACTCTTATATATGGTTACAATAACTTCTTGTTCTGAAGTAAAGAATGTCTACAAGTAATACCAAGACATTTACTGGCTCTTTTGACTCAAGATAAACACCAAGCAGAGGGTTTTTATCAATAATCACACTCATACATAGTCCTCTTGCAAATTGCAGTGCTCTTGCTACAAAAGAAGCAAGTCTTTTCTAAATGTCCATATGCCCTGTACATAACTTTACACTTCACAAGTATTACAAATTACTTTTCACATTTTATGCTAAACTGTAACATTGTCAAGGTTCTTGTGAATAACAAATATTTTCAGTAGAATCAATTGCTTCCAGCATTTTAGCACATAAGTGTATTTGGATTAAGGTTTCCAAAATATTAGCATAAAAATTACCATGAAAAGTGCCAAAACAAATTGCTGAAGAATTCTCATATGAGGATCTTGTTGTCAGAATACTTTGCTATATGCCCATAAGCCAAATAAGCTAGATGTGTCTTCATTTCTACATCATTTGCAGAAGAAACCAACATTCTAATTATTCTCTGATGTGCAACTTATCAAAAGGTATTTTGAAATTACCAGAAAGGCAGAAGGCCTTTTAAAGGACTCCTCCAGAATGTTCAAGTAAAAAATACTTTCCAAAGACCATGCAAAATCTTAGGTAAGACTAGCTATAAGGCTTGCCTATTTGATTGAATCACCACCACTCTCATCAATGTTACTGAAGTTGCAACTGATACATGGGAAGGCTTTGAAGCTGCTCAGAATAATTAGCAGTAGCTATAAGTTTGGAAGATGTATACATTAGAGCTCAGATACCCCTACCTGTTGACAAAATTTTAATAATAGTCATCAGCGTAGTATGTATAAGATCCACTAACTGCCAAAAGATGCATAATGAAGCATGGTAATCAAACTGGAGTACCATCAACATTGGTCTGCCCCTAGGGTCACCACTCTTGCCAGTCCTCTGCAGTATGTATGCTATGGATTTAGTCCATCTTGTTATTTCAACCAGATTCCTTGTGCTACCTTCCTGATGAAAAGAGGCATTAACAATCAAAATAACACCATTTCTTATCAGTTATGCCAAAGCTACATCCATGTTTTGCACAATGAGTGACAGAGATGTTGATGAGGATAAATCCATCACATTCCTTTGTAGAAGAAACACCAGAGTGCCTGGGGATAACCTTTGACAGACAACTCAACTTCATTAGCCATATGAACACCATGATATTCAAAGATACCAATGCAATGAAAGTATGAGTGCTAAGTAAGATTGAAAAGATACAAAATTTTGCATTTTCCTTGCCTGAAGCCCCACTGGCACAGTGGTATTTCTGCAGACTTACAATGCTAGAAACTGGGTTTCGATACCCATGATGGGCAGAGCACAGATAGCCCATTGAGTAGCTTTGTGCTTAACTTCAAACAAAAATCCTTACCTGAAAATGCATTTCCATTAGATACTCTCCTCTTCACACAGAATAGCTTTCTTCCTCATGAATCTGCCTAAGAGAGTTGCATGCCTTGAGCCAACTCCCACCTAATTTCACGTGTTTTAACGTTGACTGCTCTGGTGCATGATGATGTCATCATGTGACAAAAGCCATCCATTAATAGGAGGGTGACACAACCACCATGTGCAGTAACTCACCCTATGCACTTGCACACGTGATAACTTCAATCTTTGATGAGGCAAGCTAAAATAGTACACTAGAAGTGTGGAGGATGGGTAAGAATGTGTCTTCAGATAAGGAAAATGTAAACTTCTAAGATAATAACTCGCTTCTGCACATAAAATAGCTAGAATTCCACGTTGAAGTAGTGGAGGAGCCAGTGTAAAATTCTATCAATGTCAGCTCCCTTCAGAAAGTGCCTGGAGTGAAGATCATGTAGTGTGACAACTTATGGCAGGTGTTCCATAGGAGACTGCATCACAACTCAAACAGAGTATACTCTTAACCCAGAAAGTAGGGGGGAAAGAAAGAAATAAGCC